GGCATGATGACACATTTCTAGTTTAAACATGGTTGACAAAGAATTTGTTGTTATTTAAACATGGTTGACATAGAATTTGTCGTTATTTAAACATGGTTGACATGTTTGTTTATCGTTATTTAAACATGGTTGACATGTTTGTTTATTGTTATTAAAACATGGTTGACACAGAATTTCCTTCCTTCCTTCTGGTCTGGAAATGTTAAAGTTTTAATTTTCTATCTTTGGTTGTTTGTATGTTGCACATAGTTCCAAAGTCATGTATAGCTGGACTCCAGATCGGCAATCCTAGCATTTGCCTGATACAGCTCCTGTCTCATCGCATTAATTTGCTGTTCTAAATAGCTGTTCACTGCAGGAACAGCTATTGGCTGAGATTTTGCAGGCTGTTCTTGATTAGCAGGGGCTAAAGACATACAATATATGTACCAAGTTAACATTTAATTGTAAAGGAAAATATACATACATTATTATACAAATCAATATTATTCTTAAATAATCAAACAGGCAAGTCCGCCTGCTTTAAGGCAGTATGCCTCCAGATTCATGCAAATTTTCATGAACATTTTGACATAATCTTAAATAAAAAATATTTTTGTCTGAAGGTACAAGGCATAAAAAAATCTGTTCCTACACTACTATTTAGTGTTGTATTAATGCGGTGGCATAGCATTTTTCTCAAATGCAATCTTGTTTGTGAACTAACATCAGTTTGGTTGTGTATTGTTTTTAAATACCATTAATAAAGAACCCTTGCTACTTCTTGGTAACCTGGAACAGTTAGGTTGTGCTAAGTTTCTTAGAATAGCCTTGATAAAGAACCATTCTTTCTTTTTGTGAACCAAAAACATCTTGGTTGTGTCAAAATGTTTGTAACATTACAGACAAAGTGATGGACATTTTGACTGTCATCATTTATGTGCAAAACAATTTTCTGACTTAAATATTCAGCAATTATTAAATATGAGGCATCTCTTATCAAGTTATGGTATAAAATTAGAAGACCAGTGACACTTCAGTGGTCCTTATTGTTATGTAATAGTATTAGGTTATTATATAATTAATATATTATCTTACAAAGGGAGATAAATACAGTTGTTGGCCCTTGGTTATGGGCCTTAGTTCCATATAATACATGTATAAAAATGCGCACCTGATAAGTGTAATAATATGCTTATATGCGTGTATCTTTTTATTTAATCATATTTAGTTGTGAAATTTTAGTGCAAGTTGGACAAAACTTTTCTGCTGTTGTTTGTTTATTTTTATTTAATCATGGTTGACATAGAATTTATCATTGTTTTAACATGGTTGACATAGAATATTTCGTTATTTATACATGGTTGACATATAATTTATCATTATGTAAACATGGTTGACATAGAATTTGTGGTTATTTAAACATGGTTAACATAGAATTTGTGGTTATTTAAACATGGTTGACATGTTTGTTTATTGCCATTTAAACATGGTTGACATGTTTGTTTATTGTTATTAAAACATGGTTGACACAGAATTTCCTTCCTTCTGCAGGGCTGCCAATATTCCATGGATTCACGGAATCTGCAGATTTCGTGTGCTCCTGGGTCATTTTTGATATCAATGTAAATTTGACAAAGACATATTTTATACAGTACCCAAAAAATGGCACGCTTTGGCTTTTACCGTAACGCTAGCCACCTATGGTACGTCTGTATTGGTCAAATTGAGTCTTTTCTGGCATTCTATTTTTCGAATAACCAATCAAATTACAGTTAACATTGTTGCTCTTGTCTGTTGTCAAAATGGGTTAAAATGCGTCAAAATGTCGGATATTTGTTTTGAGGGCTGATGAAAACCTGAAGTCCAACTAAAGTGTCTGAATGGCTTTAAAAGCAACCAAGGTAGTCAAATTTAGAGTCCAGGAAATTGATTTTAGGGCATACCAAATCATCAGAATCCAGTAGCTTCTCTCAGCCCCCACCAGGGCTCTGCCCTGCACCCGCAAAGGGGGCTTACGCAGCCCCCTTGATCCCCGGTGTATTTTCCGCAGATTTTGCAATTTGCTGCTGACAGCCCTGCTTCTGGTCTGGAAATGTTAAAGTTTAAATTTTCTATCTTTGGTTGTTTGTATGTTGCACAATTAGTTCCAACGTCATATATTGCTGGACTCCAGATAGGCAATCCTAGTATTTGCCTGATACAGCTCCTGTCTGGTCGCATAAATTTGCTGTTCTAAATAGCCATTCACTGCAGGAACAGCTTTTGGCTGGGATTTTGCTGGCTGTTTTTGATTAGCAGGGGCTAAAGACATACAATATATGTACCAAGTTAACATTTGATTGTAAAGGAAAATATACATACATTATTATATAATATTATTCTTTCATAATCAGACAAGTCCGCCTGCTTTAAAGCAGTATGCCTCCAGATTCATGCAAATTTTCATGAACATTTTGACATAATCTTAAAAATAAAATATTTTTTGTCTGAAGGTACAAGGCATAAAAGAATCTGTGCCTACACTACTATTAAGTGTTGTATTAATACGGTGGCATAGAATTTTTCTCAAATGCAATCTTGTTTGTGAACTAACATCAGTTTGGTTGTGTATTGTTTTTAAATACCATTAATAAAGAACCCTTGCTACTTCTTGGTAACCTGGAACAGTTAGGTTGTGCTAAGTTTCTTAGAATAGCCTTGATAAAGAACCATTCTTTCTTCTTGTGAACAAAAAAACATCTTGGTTGTGTCAAAAATGTTTGTAACATTACAGACAAAGTGATAAACATTTGACTGTCCTCATTTCAACAAAACAATTTTCTGACTTAAATATTCAGCAATGATTAAATATGAGGCATCTCTAATGGTATAAAATTAGAAGACCAGTGACACTTAAGAGGTCCTTATTGTTATGTAATTGTATTAGGTTGTTATATAATTAATATATTATGTTGCAAGGGGTGATAAATTAAGTTGTTGGCCCTTGGTTATGGGCGTTAGTTCCATATAATATAAAAATGCGCACCTGATAAGTGTAATAGTATGCTTATATGCATGTATCTTTTTATTTAATCATATTAAGGTGTGAAATTTAGTGCAAGTTGAACAAAACTTTTCTGCTGTTGTTTGTTTATTGTTATTCAAACATGGTTGACATAGAATTTATCATTATTTCAACATGGTTGACAAAGAATTTGTCGTTATTTAAACATGGTTGACATAGAATTTGTCGTTATTTAAACATGATTGACATAGAATTTGTCGTTATTTAAACATGGTTGACATGTTTGTTTATCGTTATTAAAACATGGATGACATAGAATTTTCTTTACTTTCCCGGACACTTCACCATTTCCTTCATCGTTTAGTGAAAGTGTCTTTGTAGTGAGTCAAATAGAACAAGTTGGACAAAACTTTTCCGCTGTTGTTTGTTTATCATTGTTTAAACATGGTTGACATAGAATTTGTCGTTATTTAAACATGGTTGAGATTGAATTTGTCAACATTATCTATTAGGTAAATAAAATTAGATAATGATAAAAAGACATTCAGACATGGCACTGTCACTCCAGTTAAATGTTAATTTAATTCCTTAAAGCTCAGTGACATGTTGTTCATCAGAAAAGCTATTTTTTATTAGAAAATATGAAAAAACAGTGTGATTTTGTAAAAACAAAAAAGATATTCACAATCAAGTCTAAAATTTTCCCCAATGCTGTATAGACGAATGTATATCTACTGGACGCTGCGTACAGCGGGGCGTCTTATAACTTGGATAAAAACGGAGAATTCAAAGAAATCACATGTTAACACCGGATAAATGTGAACAAAATCTTAATAAAGATCTACCTGTTTCAAACCTATCTGGTTCTTCATCAGGGTAAAATTTACAAAAAATAAATCTATCTTACGTATAAAAATTGTGTAAGATGGGCAGTCACATGATATATACAAATAGAAACAAAATTAATAGTTTTCTAAAAATTGATAAAGAGTTTTGGAAAGTTGCCAGGAAAGTTATGGTTTCTTAGTCTTTGCTAATAAGTTGTTTTTAAGGTGCGATATACACTGTAGATGTTGATGATATCTCATTTTCACTACTATACATTAAGTATTCATCATAGCTATTTATTGATGATGAGGAGTTATTACTTGGTGATTTGGTGCTGTCTGTTTGTTGATATTCTTCTGTTTGTGGTGTGGGGCGTAACGGTGATTCTGGTCTGGAAATGTTAAAGTTTTAATCTTCTATCTTTGGTTGTTTGTATGTTGCATATAGTTCCAAAGCCATGTATAGCTTGATTCCAGATTGGCAATCCTAGCTTTTGCCTGATACTGCTCCTGGTTTTGGTTGTTTGTATGTTGCACATAGTTCCAAAGCCATGTATAGCTGGACTCCAGATTGGCAATCCTAGCATTTGCTTGATACTGCTTCTGTCTTTTGTTGTTTGTATGTTGCACATAGTTCCAAAGCCATGTATAGCTGGACTCAAGATCGGCAATCCTAGCATTTGCCTGATACTGCTCCTGTCTTTAGTTGTTTGTATGTTGCACATAGCTCCAAAGCCATGTATAGCTTGACTCAAGATCGGCAATCCTAGCATTTGCCTGATACTGCTCCTGTCTCATCACATTAATTTGCTGTTCTAAATAGCCGTTCACTGCAGGAACAGCTTTTGGCTGAGATTTGGCAGGCTGTTCTTGATTAGCAGGAGCTCAAGACATACAATAAATGTATAAAGTTAACATTTGATTGTAAAGGAAAATATACATACATTATTATATAATATCATTCTTTAATAATCAAACAGACAAGGCATCTGCTTTAAGGCAGAGCATGCCTCCAAATTCATGCAAATTTTCATATTGACATTATCTTGCTCATTCTTTGAAGCATAAAAAAAATAATTTGGTACAAATGTTAGGGTCGTGTGTCTTTCATAGTATTGCATATAAATGAATTACTGTAATATAATGTATATATAACTTTATTTCTCCGAGGTGAATGCACTAAATTAGTAGAGTTCCCTAATAGCAACATAGCACAAACTTTATAAATGAAAATTTGGCAACAACAATACAATATCAGATTGTCCATGCTGTTTTATGTTTTACTTTTTTACCTATTAAAATATTTTTTGTGGTGACTTTTCAACCTTAAACATATTTTCTAAAAAGATATAAATCAAAGAATGATGTAAATTACTGAAATAATATGTGTTTTCTTCTTTGTCTTATTGAACAGTGCAGCCAGCGAGAATAATTTGACGCTTTTAGCCATAATATTATGAAATATCTTTTGCTTTGCAATTATTTAAAGAAATGTGTCCTACCTTTCTCACAGCTTTCGCATCCTAATGACTTGAATGTCACACTCACTTATTTTTATAATAAGGTGAAAGACTTGGTACTAGTGGTTGCTGGAAGTGTGGTCACTATTGCTGCTTAATATCTTTGCTGTGGCTGTTGACCAAGTAGGGTGAGTTTATCATGTGTCCATGGCAGTGCTGCTTTCTTTCCTGATAGGCCAGCTATTTGTGGCATTTCGCTTACAATATCTGAGAAAGCTGCAGCAACATGGGCTATGGGTGCAGTAAGTGTTCTCTCTGCTAGCTGTGCTGCCTTATATATATTTTCTAGGTCATTGAGACCTTGAAGCAATGTTTCTTATGTCATTACGAAGGTCTTTTAGTGTTGTTGAGGTTAACTTTTCCTCTGGGTAGTTCATGTTCTGTTCTGCATTCAACACTTGTGTAATATATCTAGAAGATGGCTACTCTGGACATTGTGTGATGTCCCAGATTTTGGTGGCACCATCATTCCCCTGAACCTGGTTTAAGGTGCATTGCAAAAGCTTTTGTTATCAGCCCTCACTTCAGACTTAAGATTCCTGTAAAAGGCGTCTGCATCCGCTTATAAATGAAAAAGCTATGCCCTTAAGTTCCTTACCTTCATTATAGTTAATAAACTTAAAAGTTGTTATCATATATGTGTAGCCAGCCTGCGGCACGGTTTCATATTGTTCCTTTCTTAAGTTTTCTTCTTCCTGCACAAACATCAATCTAGCTTTTGCAGTCTCAGCTTTAACTTTCTTCACTAGCAACATATGAGTCATGTGTTTTTAGATCTGCCACTTGCTTGCTTACTTGAGGTTTTTTCTGAGCCACTTTAGTTTTAATTTCTTGAGCTGTTTATTTGTTCTTTTCAAAGATGCGTGGCTATGTGAATAATATACGTCGAATTGAGTCAAGCTCCCTTATATTTATTTAAGTGTCTTATTTTTGTTATACACAATCCTTGTGAGACCTTTAACCCAATTAACCGCCTCCGTGGTCGAGGGGTTAGAGTCGATGACTTCTAATCCAGATACCTCTCTGGCGTGGGTTCGATCCCTGGGAGATGCTTTGGTAGTTTAGCGCAGAGGAAGGTAGTTTAGTACTGGTGTAACTCTCCAGGAACGATGGTTAGGAAACTACCCGCCTATATGACTGAAATACTGTTGAAAAAGGCGTAAAATGAAACAAACAAACAAAACAAAATTTAACCCAATTGAATCCGCTCTACGCTTTTCTGATGCAAAACGAATCTTGTTTTTTAATGTCCTATTTGTTCTTTCACATTTGGACCTTGCGACTGTGGATGGTATGGAGAAGAACAAATGATTTTGATTGTGTTTCATTCCCATAGTTTGTCTACTTTCCCTTTAAACTCAGACCCATTATCACATTGAATGATTTTTTTTTTATCACATTTAATCATATTTAGGTGTGAAATTTTTGTGAAACTGTCTTTGTAGTGTATCAAATAGAACAAGTTGGACAAAACTTTTCTGCTGTTTGCATGTTGTTAGAATATGATAACAGAAACATTTTAAGCGAAAAAAAAAGTTGGGGTCACCATTCTCATTTTCGAGTTGTATTTTTGCAGTTGTATTAGAGTCAAACATATCTTCCTGGAACAAACCAGTGTAAGTTCCTGAAGCTGAGGGGAATGTGTCCCTTATTCTTCTAACACAGCAACTGGGGATCACCCTCCTCACTCCTGCTCCTAGCCTGCCATGTCGCCAGAGAGTAAAGTTTCTATAGCCCGAATGTCGCATGGTCTTGTTATAATCTTCCATGTGTTGTCTATGTCGACCAAGCATATCTCTATAATATGCTTGGCCTATGGCAAGAACTTCTGGGTCCAGGCAAATTCTATCCATTTGCTGCAAGAAAGAAAATCCATATTGTATTTACCAAAAATGTTCATAAATGAGAAATCATTTATAAAAGTCAATTATTATAATGCATGAACTGGACTGTTAATAATAATCACTTAATCAAAATGTTGATCCATGGTTTTTTACCAGAGGTAAAACAAAATTTTCAGGGGACGGGGGTTAGACATATATGTAATTTTCAAGAATGGTCAAGAGACAATTTTTTTTACATAATCAGGGCAGGGATTTTTTCCAGGATTTTGGGAACATGACCCATATTCATGAAATTGGGAATTTCAGTGGTGTTCTGTTAACTAGAAATGTGTCATCACTCCATGAATGTAGCCAAAATTTCAGATGTTATAATATTTACAATAATGTTACAATTGAATTTTATATATCTTGACTAAGCAAACAGAGTAAGATGTGAAAAATGAAGTCACAGTTTTAATGTAATTAAATATATGTATATTCAGAACTACTTACATCTCTCTGGCTGACACAATTTTCTGGCTTACAGCCACAGCACTTCCTCTCAAGCTCCGTTGGCATCTCTCTGCAGTTCAAACATCTGCACCAAGATGGAATATTACTTGCAGCAGGATGAGGTGGCTGCGGTGGTGGTGTCCCATCATCCTCCAGCAAGTCAAACAGCAACCCTGGTTCTCTTTTTATGAGCTGAATAACCAGTTTCTTAATTTCTTTGCTTTCATTTTTTTTACCACATTCTGAAAATATCCATTTTGTATCCATATATAATGGATACAAAACTGTTATGTTCATCAAATTCATATGAAGTGTACAGCACAAAAAGTCAAACTGCGGATGCAACTTAATTCAACTGTTACTGATGACGTACCTATGTGTTATATTTAGAAAAACTGAACGAGCGTTGAAGTTTTTTCATCATTTAATTTTGTGTATTATTTACCAATTTTGATTTTTTTTTTCCGTAAAATCATTGCATTTACCATCAAATGAAACCTTTTTGATGTTTTCTGTAATTTTTTACATAACATACAGGATCTTTAAACATGGTTGACATATAATTAATCATTATTTAAACTTGGTTGGCATAGAATTTGTTGTTATTAAAACATGGTTGACATAGGATTTCCTTTACGTAAATGATTTTGTGATAATGTTTAACGTCTGTTCCAATATCGTACCAAAACCGTAAAAAGTATATAAACACATATACACGATAAAAAGTTTACAACAACGTCATAAACTTAATTACATTTTCAATTATATGATAGGAAATTATTAATATAATGTTGAAATAAAATGAGCAACGCCCAATTAACTGTATGGATTACATCGTAACCCAATAAATCAACATGTATAAACGAAGAAGGTATACATGTATAAATGTACGCTATATCAAGGATTTAGGTAAAAAAAAATACTGAACAAAACCACGTCCGTTCAGCTTGATATGTAAAGGCGCACTGAGGATTTATGGTCACGCTTTGCACAGTGTTATGACGTAAAAGAATCATATTTAGGTGTGAAATTTTAGTGAAAGTGTCTTTGTAGTGTATCAAATAGAACAAGTTGGACAAAACTTTTCTGCTGTCGTTCGTTTATCATTATTTAATCATGGTTGACATAGAATTTGTCGTTATTTAAACATAGTTGACATAGAATTTATCGTTATTTAAACATGGTTGACATAGGATTTATCGTTATTTAAACATGGTTGACACAGAATTTATCATTATTTAAACATGGTTGACATATAATTAATCATTATTTAAACTTGGTTGACTTAGAATTTGTTGTTATTAAAACATGGTTGACATAGGATTTCCTTTACTCGCCTGGACACTTCACCATTTCCTACATGAAAGTGTCTTTGTAGTGTATCAAATAGAACAAGTTGGACAAAACTTATCCGCTGTCGTTTGTTTATCATTATTTAAACATGGTTGACATAGAATTTGTCATTATTTAAACATGGTTGACATAGAATTTGTTGTTATTTAAACATGGTTGACATAGAATTTGTCGTTATTTAAACATGGTTGACATAGAATTTATCGTTATTTAAACATGGTTGATATATAATTTATCATTATTTAAACATGGTTGACATAGAATCTGTTGTTATTTAAACATGGTTGACATAGAATTTCCTTTACTCGCATGGACACTTCACCTGATTTCCTACATTGTTTTCAGCCATTTTGAAATCAAATACATACAAGTTAAATTTTGATGCTGCACATCAAAAACAGTCACATCCATAGGTAATGCACAAAATCAGCCTTGAAAATCTTTTCTTTTACGGATGAATATCCAAAGCACTAGTCAATTGTTATGCCCCCGGGCATATAGTAATTGAACTGTCCGTCCGTCTGTCAGAGCAAACATTTTGGGTTTAGGGGCTATATAAAAGTAAAGAGAACAAAAGAGAACAATAGGTTCATTCCGTGATCAAAGGGTGTAGGGGCTAGTAGCCCTTAAGAAAACAAAGAAAATAACAAAGAAAATAGCCCCTAAACCCAAAATGTTGGAACGTCAGTCCGTCCGTCCGTCTGTCCGTACCAGGTTAACCTAGAACGGCAAGTTGGATTTTTCTTAAGTTCTAGCTGTACCAATGGCTTCATTATATACACACTTACTAATCCATACAAAGTATATGATCTGGGCAAGTTACATAACTATGGCTTCCATTTGCACCAAGTTATGGCCCTTTTCAGCACTTAGAAAATGAATAATGGTTAACCTAAACTGGCAAGTTGGAAATATCTTATGTTCTATTTGAACTAATGGCTTAATAATTTTCACACTTACTTATCAATACAATGTACATGATATTGCCAAGTTATATAAATGTGCCATCCATTTTCCCAGTAATTTCCCTTTTTATCACTTTGAAAATAGGGCCTTGTATGGTTAACCTATTTTGCTAAGTTGGATAAAAATATCAAAAAATTTCACCTAATTGCTTAATTTATTTAATGATATCTTTCATATTTGGTAGGTGGATACCTTTAATGGTCCTCTAATTTTTTGTGGTGTTAGGCGTCTCTAGGTCAAGGTCACTTGTGTAAAAAAATAAATCTAAACATTTCTGCTCATACAGCCATTATTTTTAAGTTAATGTCTTTCAGTTTTATAATAGTCATACCAAGGGAAGTCCTCTTCCTTTTCATTTAGTAAGGGGTCATTTAGGTCAAGGTCACCAATGTCAAAAATAGATTTTTTACACTTTTACAGGTGTATTAACCTTATTCTATCGACAGATGTCTTGTATATTTTGTAGGAACATAAAATTGAGGTATTCTCATTTGGATGGAGGTAGGGGTCAGTTGGGTCAAGGTCACCAGTGCTAAAAATACATTTTTACACTTTTGCTCATACAGCCTTTATTTATTGACAGATTTGTATTATAATTGGTAGGAAGATTACTTACATGGTATTCTTCCTTTGGATGGAGTTAGGGGTCAGTTGGGTCAAGGTCAACAGTGCTAAAAATAGATTTTGACACTTTTGCCCTGATACAGCCTTTATATATTGACAGATTTATTTCATATTTAGTTAGATGCTTATATTCTAAAGAAAGTAGCGCCTTATATGAAATAATTGTCATGAAAGTGGCAAAATGTAAACAAAGTAGAATTTTGTCTTCCATACAAATGAGCTACTTCACTCTCTAAAGTTAAATTATTGACAACAGTGAGCGTGGGGGCATTTGTGTTTATCAAACACAGATTCTTGTTTTCAGTTTTGGGGGAAGGGGGTCAGTGCCCATTGGGTCGGGAAAAAATAGCACGTAAATGCCAAAAAAAGGGAATTTTCAGTTTTATTAACATTCAATAAAAGGACTAAAAAAACATGATTTTTCAATCATATAAAATAAATAAAACAACTAATTGAAATTAGTTAACAAACTTTGAGTGACTTCAGTTTGATTCAGTGTAATTTCATTTCCCTACTGTCATTATCAACTCATTGATGACAGCATTTATCATTTCTTTGCACTGACAGACAAGTTATTTAGTGAATAATTGATTGGGATATTTAAATTATCATATGTATATCATATATTATTACTAACAAAAAAAAAATACGCTGAGTAACAAAAATCGAGCGTACCTAGGCTGACTGCATTGGTCTGATTTTAGAGATTTTTCTTTTGAACCAAGCACAGTAAGTGCCTGCTGCTTAAAAAGAACATTGATATGTTTGTTCTTTGCTGAGCATTGTTTATTTATTATCTTTTGGTAACACCGACTAATTTGTGACATTTTAAGCACCAGTGCCTATAAAAGTACATGTATACAGTTAGTCTTAAAAGCGGTAAAGATACAGCGGCAATTTGACCCAATTTGACAGCCGCAGTAAAACAATATTAAGCTTATCCCTCTGCTATATAATTTTTTGGTGTATTAGGACCTGAATAAAATTTGAATTCTGATCTAAACCCAGGCATGGTCCTAATATAATTTTCTATGAATCTTGTTTCCTGAATACATATTATGTCAATTTGGGAGTTATTGTCATTTAATTTTTATACGCCCGTTTGAAAAACGGGACGTATTATGGGAACGCCCCTGGCGGGCGGGCGGTCGGGAAGGCGGCGTCCAATTTTGTCCGGAGCATATCTCCTACATGTATTGGAGGATTTTAATGAAACTTCATATAAATGTTCACCACTATGAGGAGCAGTGTCGCGCACATGAACCAGGTCTCTAGGTCAAAGGTCAAGGTCACACTTTGGGTC